CGGGGGCGGCGTGCCCGCTGCCCTGCCCGCTGCCCTGCCCGCTGCTGGGGACGGGCCACGCCGGCTGCCCGGGGAGCATCCCTCGGGGGCCGTATGCTGGGCGAGGGGCCTCGTGCAAGGCACGCGGGCTGCAGGCACGGCACGGCAGGCGACACGCGTGCTCCACGCTCTCCGCCGGCGCAGATTTTGCAGCGGCTGTGTCAGCACGGGATGCAAAGCGCCCGGCGGGTTTGCACGTGGGAGCGGATTGAGTCAGGCATCACACACTCACTCCTTATTCATTCGGCTACGCGAGCCGCTGGGCAGAGGCTAAATTCTCCATGACCTTTGGACACTCATTTAAACCATGGAAAGGGTGATGGGCAGCCAGCAGGCAGGGAAAAGAGGCAAATGGCCTTCGCCAGATGGCAGTGGATGCTGCCGTCAGAGCCTCCATCCTGGGGTGTTCCCCGAGTTGGGGCGAGTGCCTGGTGCCTGGCACAGGGTGGCAGGGCTGACCACCACCCTCTGGCCTTTCGTCCTCCAAAACCAAGCGGTGTGGCTCGTGGGACAGCTCCGTGCTGGCGGTCACTTACCTGTCCCTCCTGGGGCAAGCCCCTGCTGTGGTCTGCAGACCAAAAGCCGGGCTCAGACCCCGAGCTGAGCCCCAGCCTGTGGCCTTCAGGGGCTCCTGCACTCCTGGACCTGCTTTTGCTCATCAGACACTTCCATCCAGCCAAAGCGAGCAGAGATGCTCTGGTAGAAAGGGGCCTGAGAAGAGACTGAGACCAGCTGTGCTGCAGGGAGGGAGCCACCGCGGCACAGCCGAGGCCAATGACAGCTTTCCCGAGGGCATCATCTTAGAAAGCGGCTCTTCGGAGGCGAGGTGATTCAAGGGGAAAGCCTGCAACAGTCATTCTGGGAAGTTTCCATTTGAATCGCTGCAAAGAGCAGTTTTTCCATGATAAACAGATTGCTTCAGTTCCCCAGCAGCACTGGGGGGGGGGAGTCACCGCCACCCCCTCCCTCCGCGGCCCTTTCTGCACGGGGCCCTGAGTCATCCTCCACCCAAAGGCTCGTCCGTCGGGGCCGGGCACACGGTGGGGACGGGCAGGGCCCCGGCGGGATCCACGCCTGCAGCCACCATGGTGCCCTCAGGAGCCCTCCCACACCACAAGGGGAATTCAGCCCCAGCACAGCCGGTACGGCTTTGAGGTCAAACGCTTGTTTGAAATCAAGAACCAGCGAAAACCCCTCCCCAACTGACTCCTGAGTGGAGTGCGCAGAGCCAGGGCCTCCTCCGAGGCTCCCAGGGCGTGCTCGGGCTTTTTTATTTGCGAACTGGGGCTCTGGCGTGCTGGTGGGGTCGAACGCTTTGACTGTACAGGCAACGCTTACGGGAATCCCTGTCTCACCGACGGCAAGCGGAGCCTTCCCGCCTGCCTTGTCCCCATACCACCCAGGTATGGTCGTTCAAGGGGTGTTGCCCAGGTATGCTCTGGGGCTGCCCAGCACCTCATGTTTAACCTGCACCCCCAGAGCAGCACCCCAGCCTCGGCTGACCTTCGGGAGCGTGATATTTTGGCACTGCTGCGGTGCTGCTCGTACAGCTGTTGAAGCCGCCGCAGAGGAAACACCGCTCGTCTCCTCCTTGGGTAGTCACCAAGACCAGGTCGGGTACCTCACGTCCCAACCACCTCCAAGACAAACTTCTAAGCGGTAGAGGTCAGCGAGGGAGAGGAATCCCGCTCCCTGCACCGCTTTAATCCTATGGAATAATGCATACTATGAAGTGAAATCTGGATCTGGTCCAGCACTCACTGAAGGCAATGACAGACCTCCCACTGATTTCAATAGGAGCAGGAGTGAGCTGGGGTTTTTAATCAGCATGGTACCAGCAACAGTAATAGCTCGTCAAGCCCCGGCGTTACCCGTGCGGTGTAATGCAGCTAGAATACTTCAGAATGTGGTTGCCTGCGCCCATAGGTCGCATTTCATCTCAAATCACACCGATTTCATGACGACACGTGCTAATAGCATGCGATAATCATCAGTGACTGCTTCCATTCGGGATGAAATATTACCCCCGCTGCGCACCAATCGATAGCTGAGGTAAAACTCTGCCGGCAGGTTTCCAAACCCCCGCTGCAGCAGGAGGAGAGTGCTGGGAAAGGCCCTGAACATGGGCATAACCTTATTAATGATTCGGCGTCAAGAATAGAAATAAGAGTTAAATCTTCCATAAGCTGCTCAGCTCCACATTCATGTTGTATACATCCTCAGGCTAAAGTGCAAATACGAACTCCGTGCATACCCCGTGACAAGGATAAGTAATATTTCAGGCCTAACTGTTTGCATATTCATCAGTACTTTCAAAGCAGAATATATCTTTGCCTTTTTTCTAGCTGCCTCTGAAAGGAGGCACGCAGCGAGGCTACCGGGAGAGCCCCGCACGGGAGAGGGGAACATTGCAATACTTCCAGCAGCACCACGGGCCGAAGGAAAGATAAAGCTGTATTGCAGAGAGAAAACTAATTACTCCTTGTGTGGCAGCTCTGGCGATGACAGACCGCTGCCACCATTTTTTGGCCTGAGTTGTTGTTCAGAAAACAATAAAGTGGCATCCTGTCCTGGGTAATGGAATAAAAAGCAGAGGTCGGGAGAGTAGATAAAATGGACCTCTGGGGACAAGCCCGAGGCTGCAGACGGCTGACCCGGCTCTTCCCCAGTCGGCATTTTCGCCCCCACAGAGCGGGCTTCCCCGGCCGCAGCCCGGCGCAAAGGTGGACGGGCGCACACGGGCGCGGGGCAGTGCTGAGCCAGCCGAAGACCCGGCGTCCCGCGGCAGACACCTACCTGCCTTAACCAGTTCTGCCTTAACCCGGCCATGCCACAGGACTGTTGGCAGCCTGAGACCCAGGCAGGATTGCGGCTCCGTGTGGACGTAACGAGTCGGGTACGGGGAGGCCGGGAGCAACCAGCATGGGACAGACCCTATCCAGGTCCCATTTGCCTGAGGGCAGCAGCATGCACGAGAGGAGACTGGGGAATCTACCTTGTTATTTTCGGGCATTCCTCAGCGTTGCTTCTTGCAAACTAGTCCCAAACTCCTCTGTTTTCCCTCAGCTGTGTGGCGTTACCCAGCCTTCCCCAGTTTTGCAGTTTTTAACGAGGCACACGCAGTGAAAAGCCCTTCCCAGCCAGAGCTTTACTGTTTTGCCGTTTCCAAAGGCACTGGGCGTAATGGCAATAGCTGACTCCACGGAGTGACGTGGCCAGAGCAAAAACACACCCGGGAGAAAGAGAAAGGTATAAGAAATAAATTATTTCAAAATGCCAGGTAGAAGTATTACCCTCTGTTTCTTAAAACCCCAGCATGGGAGTGCGGTGCCCTGGGAGCCTGGGCAGAAGAGCGCAGGCACCCCCTCCATCGCGCCCGCTGTTTCTAACGGTGCAAAGGTCCTGCTTGCCCGGCCATCGAGCCCAGGGGCGGAAACGGACATATTCAACGTAGGGGCCAATTAGCAGTTTTTACCTGGCCAGCTGCCACTGAGAGGTATTTGGATATTTCTCGAGTGCCACGAAGCGCCTGGAGAAGGGCGGTGGGAAAGGTCTGGAGCTTCGGCCTGGCCTGGAGAAGGGCGGTGGGACTGGAGCTTGTGAGAACCGCGTCTCCTGGCTCCGGCAGCACGCCGCGAGTCAGGGTTACAAAACATGAATACCCCATGTCGCATAGCGAGGGGCAGTATCACCGGCTCCGCTGGCTACAGTTACGCGACCTGAACCCAGCAGAGTAATTTCGCCTCCAGCCCTGCGGAGCTCGGGAGCGGTATGCAGCACCGGCTGGGCTCATCCCGCCTCTGCCCCCGTCTGCCCGGGCATTCCCGACCCTCTCCTTCCATCCCGAGCATCACACCAAATGTCTAAAGGGAAAAAAGACTTGCTCAATACCTGCTGCTTTTTCCACGATGAAGCAGCTAAAGCAGAAACAGCAATTATCTGGTTCAGTCTGGTGCTGCTGGCCTGGAACATGCCATGACAACGTGTTTCTTGTTTCAAAGCCTCTTTTGTACTAGGACACAGTTCAAGGGATCTTGCAATGCCTGCATTTGTAAACACGCGGCACTTGCAGCTACACGCTTTGCAGATGAAAGCCAGGGCAGAGCAGAAGGGCACTTCTCCCCGCCATGGCCGTGTCACGGCCGGGGGGAGCGCTCCCCCTCGGCTCGGTGTCTGCAGGCGGACGTGCTGATTCAGGGACTCGGGAGCCCTGGGGCTGGTTAACCATGCGTGGTCCTCAAAAGTCACGGCACGTTCAGAAAAATGGAGTCCTGGAAAAGAAAAAAAAAAAAAAAGGGGAAAAAAAAAAATCACAGCAAAAAATGTGCGTCACTGCAGATTATTTTAGGCCCTGGTCCATGCATAATGCAAATAAGCAGCTCCCGGGGTACATGCCTGTAAAAACCATCCAGTCCCATAGCAATCGGTTATAGGAGCTTTCCAAACAGGTGGTGAAAAGCTAAAATGATGTGTCTCTGTGTCCTCACCGGGGTTGGGAAGGGCCCTCGCTTTCAGGAAGGCTCTTACCCTACCTCCACAGGGCCGGTATAAAACAGGACTGAGACATTAAAAAAGCCAAGAGCATTTCTTTCCTTTTGAGGCAATCCCGCGCTCGTATTAACCAAACCACGCTCAGCATCTCCACGACCTCCTTTGATCTGCTCCGAACCGGGCTGCCTCCTTGCGCTTACTTTTCACGCACGCTGGCTTTATTTTTTGCTTTTTCTAAAAATCATTGTATCCTTGCCTTACTTCAAGGAGTCGCTCGGGAAGCCCTATTTATGGGTTGAAATGCTGCTGAAAGAGTTATTGCCATGTTATTCAGCTGTTGTGCCAAGCCTGCATGGAGATCGGGTTTCTGCTGAAAGGGTGCCAGGCACGTCTTTTTCCAGGAACCAGCAGCCGTATTTAGCCTCCGGCTGCACATGAAAGACTGCAGTCGGAAACGTGACATTGTGTCAACATTTGAGGCAGGTCAGAGCTGGGTGAGACCATGAAAACAAGTCCGGGGAACTCAGCACGCCCCGCCGGCGCGGTGCGGCGCGGCACGGGCTGCCACGACCTGGCGCCATGCCGGGGGTCGGCCCCTCCATCGCCTTCCTCCCTCGGCCCCCGTCCGCGTTGCCCCCTCTCCTCTTTGCACCGCCACGACCTGGCGCCATGCCGGGGGTCGGCCCCTCCATCGCCTTCCTCCCTCGGCCCCCGTCCGCGTTGCCCCCTCTCCTCTTTGCACCGGGACGGAGCGTGACGGCTCTGCCAGGTGGGCGACGCCGCGGTGGGATGGCGGCGGGGCATTCCCGCAGCAGGCAGAGGCAGGGCGGGGGGG